ATATAAAGGAGGGGAGTGTGAGGTGGGTAGATAGACAGTGAGTGATTGAACTGCGGTCAGAAGTATTATTGACGTTCGTTGCTATAGCGTTTGTTTAGCGCGATTGTTGAGTGTATCGGTTAAGTTATATTCGGAAAGAATAAACCAGTTTTATTTAAGTAAAGGACTTGTGTCGCGTAAGTTTCGTCGGAACGAAGTTACGGAAAATTAACTAACAAACGGAGACGTAACAATACTTTACACTTTAAGAAAATGGAGGACCGGCATAGCTAAGTGGTTAGGGCGCTCGACTCGCAATCTGAGGGTCGCGGGTTCGAATCTCTGCGTTATAATGTGACGGTCAATCCCACTATTCGGTGGTAAAAGAGTAGCCAAGAGTTGGCGTGGGTGGTGATGACTAGCTGCCTTTCCTCTAGTCTTACACTGCTAAATTAGGGATGGCTAGCGCAGATAGCCCTCGTGTAGCTATGTGCGAAATTCAAAACAAACAAACAAAGAAAATGGAGGTAGGTGATCAAACGCGTAGTGTATGCTCTGCTTTTCTTCTGCAAAACATATGTTGCTGTCAAGGGGAAAAAATGTTTTCGTGGATTCGTTGGTTGTGTAGCACAGAGCTAACACAATAGGCTATTTGTACTCTGTCCACATTGTGGAATTGGACCCCGAATTTCAGCGTTCTAAGTCCGCAACTTACCGTTGACCCGCTAGCGAACAGTTTTGTAGGAGTTTTAGCAAATATTCAAAAACGTTATCATCTCTGTTGTGTTTTTTGCGCTATTCACTGTTCGAATATGCAGAAAAAATAACTTATTTTACGCGAAAAGATTGTACAACTTCTGTAGAAAACTACTTTCCAAGGATTATGTTTCGCGAAAACATATTTTGAATATTTAACTAAATTATCAATGGATAATAAAACAAAGCAGCTACTAAGTAATATTTTCATCTACTGGATCTTCTATTTACTACAACTGTGATGAGATAAAATACCTCTTTGATGAAATATTGAATAAACTAATCAATTGTTATTTAATTACACCAACAAATCCATTTTCAACATTAATTAGCTAGATCGTGCGCAGTTTTCATTGTGTCATTAAAGTAATTGTTTGTTTGTAATTGTGCACAAAGCTACACAATGGGCTATCTATGCTCAGCCCACCACGGGTATCGAAACCCGGTTTCTAGCGTTGTAAGTCCGCAGACATCCCGCTGTGCTACTGGTGGGGGGCTCATTATAGTAAATAGCTATCAGTTATACATTAGAAACGTCACAGACGAGTGCCTTTCGAACTTTTCATAAAATACAAACAGAAAAGGAAAGCCATTTTATTAAAAGAAACAACTTTAAAAAAGCCTCTGCGGCATTTATTTTACAAAGATGTTATACAGTTAAGTACTAAACCAATGAACAGGTTGTAATTTTTTATCAATACCTTCGTTAAATTTATTATAATTACAAAATTTGTAGAAGAAACGAAATTTCTGTAACTTCAGAAGCATGTTTAACACTGATTGTGTAGGGGTTTTAATATGTCTATTTTTTTTTTCTACAGCCTGAAAAGAAGTAGTTGAATCTGGCCACGAAATTTCTATTCCTGAAGTTTTCACAGTCACGTAGCTCCATCTGTTCAGTTGTTTATGCAGTGCTTTTAAAATTAAACAGAATATTAATCTTCTACGTTACCTCTATTGGATAGCTTTATCTATAATTATCTGCTCACAATGATATTCAGATTTGTCATATACATGTCTTTTCATTAACTTTCCGTAAAGTTAAAAATGTATATTGTGTTAATTTTATAAATATGTTAAATTAATTTTCATTTTAGACATCAGGTCATGTTCTGGATTATTTGTATTAATTTATTTATGACCCTAATGAAATATTCTGAAGTATGTAAATACTATCTAAATCTTGTAGTCACGTGAATTGATGTGAAATAATGGCTGTGGATTAAATAATTTTTCATCTGCTACTTTATGAATTTCTGTCGTCTGCTTATTTTCAATAACAAAATTAGTTTACGAGTAAAAATAAATCTTAAAAATATAATATTATTTCCTGTTAGTTAATTACTGGGAAATTTTCTAATAAAGACGTCGAGCACAAGAGCTGTTGTTTCACCTTTACGAATACTATACGAATTTCAGTAAATTTGATTGCTTCAATCACATCTCAAATCAATGTTGTAATCTAATAGTGATCTTTACTGAATAATTCACACTAAACATTGCATGTCGTGAGAAAGAAAATATTTTTCTTTCAGTGTGATTTTATCATATAGGCGAGAATTTAGCTCCAATGTCCAAAATTTATAAAACAGTGTTGATAAAGAACAACACAAGTAAAAAATAAATACAACTAATATTTTTACATTCGGTCAGAGGTGTTTAAAAGAAATTCTGGACAAAGATCATCATATTCTTGAAACATACGATTAATATCTTTTGTTTCTCATTTGAATTTTCTTCTGAAGCTACTAAAATATCCTTCCATAATTCTGAATTGGTACATTAGAGGGAAGGAAACTAATTAACAACACTATCCGCCAACTGTTGAATGACTCTAGTCTAAATGTTTTTGCGACAACGAGATACGAATCTTAAACTCTCAGATTCACAGTTTGAGCACGCTAATACCGCGCAATAAGTACGAGGGTAACCGAAAAATTCGTAAAAAAAATGGAATGTATGATTTTTTTTGATAAATGTTAAGTTTGAATTAAGTGTGAAGATGATTCCAGATCCGGTTGGCCCTCGACATCGACCACAACAGAAATTGTAGATAAAATTCATGATTTGATATCATAGAAAAAATTACCATTGGGAAGTTAGCAGAGGAAGTGAGAATCAGTAAGAGTACTTTAGAAAGCATTTTGAGTGACAGTTTGGGCATAAATAAATGTTGTCACCTGAGAAGAAACAGATCCGAGTTGTTGAAAGACAACGCTTACTGCAAAAGTTTCAATAGATTCCTAATTACGGATGAAACGTGGGTTCACCACTTCAACCCAGAGATAAAAACGCAAAACTTACAATGTAAACACCCAATCTCACATACACTCCAAAGAAATTCAAGTCACAACCCCCTGCTGGGCAGATCATGGCATCAGTTTTTTTAGTGGGGATGCCAAGGGCGTTTTACTAATTGAATATTTGGAAAGGAGGCAGACCGTTACAGGAGATTACTGGGCATCCTTAATCAATAATCTGCATCAAAAAGTCTAAGAAAAGAGAAGTGGAATGCTCGAAATTGGTGTGTTCTTCCATCAGGACAATGCCCCAGCTCACAAATCGCGCGCAAAATTGGTGTGTTCTTCGGTCAGAGAGGGTACATATTTTTTTTAAAATTATTTATATACAATCATAAACTCAAATGAATCAATTGATAACAACAAATATATATCAAGCTTAAATAAAGAAATACATTTTTACATTGTTACTAATTATATGGTTGAAGGTCAAATCCAACTATTCGGTTAAACAAGAGTAGTTTGATGGCTGGCGGTGGGGGCTGTTAACTAGCTGCCTTTCCTCTAGTTTATCAGTTCAAAATTAAGGACGTCTAGCGAAGATATCCCTTGAGTAGCTTTGTCTAAATATCCGAAATTAAACAAAGAAACAAACCTTCTTTTACCTCCCGTGCAACCGCTGCATACCTCAAGAAGCTGAAGAATGGAACAGGCATTTATGTTATTCCTTCGAAAATATACCGGTCAAGTAGTCTATGAATTACTTTGCGATCCAACTGCTGTTAAGTAGCGCTGTGAAACCGACGTTCTCGTACACTAGATGGATTATGGAAAGCTTGCAGGGAGGGTGGTTTTAACAAGACAGCCCTACTACGGAGCTATTTTATGTAGAAACTACGCTACAGAGCTAATTTCAAGATACATGGTAGTCAGATAGAAAAGTACAGGTGATGCTCCAAAATCATAATTTGATACAACGTACTCAACCTCTGTATTCACAACAACCGGCTATAACAAGCTGACACTTCAACACTTATCAGCCAGGAACAAGCTAAATCCTAATCAAAAGTATTATTCACATTCCAATAATTATGAATAGTGTGCGATTGATTAAGCGTAACCTGTTAGTGGTTACCACAGAAATACCAACTTTTATCAGCTATCATTCAATCATATTTCATCAGATAATTAACCAGCGCTAATTAACAATTAAAAACATAAACTGTTACCAAACATGAGTCCGTAATATGCTAGTTTTATATGTCAACGATTTGTATAAATAACATTCAATCGTAATATTTCTCTTTTATTTATCCACGGTTACTGCAGATAAGAAACAAGCTTGATATAATAATAATATAAGTGTATTTCTTAAGTTTGTTTGTTTTATATGGGATATTTGTATTTTACCCAACGTCTAATGTACCGAGGGAATTATTCTTTAAGAAACTGCTCTTCAGAAGAGGGTACATATATATTTTTAATTATTTATAATCATAATCGAATATATAAACACAAATGAATCAACTGATAACAACAAATATATATCAAGCTTGAATAAAGAGATAAATTTTCAAATGTTACTAATTATATATACTTCTCTTCATCTTCTGCTTCAAACTCTTCGATACATTTAAACATTTCTTTGCTGATCTTTCTTTACACCACATTCCAAACCTATTCTTCCCTTCTCTTGTCTTTAATTCATCCTTGTTTTTCTTCTTCCTTTGTAAACAATATTCCATGGTCTCTTCATACATCTTCTAGACTACTGTTCTTCTTATTTTATCCATTTATTCTGTCTGCCCTCTAAAGATATTACTATATCCCAACTTTGTCAATGTCTTAACAATTTTTTTCTCTTCTCTCTCTGTAATATTTCGCCGCACCAACTTTTTCTAGATGGTTATAGGATATGCAGTTGGTTGATTGCTCAATATCTCTATAATTCTCCTGTATTTTTTGTTCTATTTTTTTCTAGCATTGCTTCTCCGATCGTCATTCGTATCTCTCGTATTTCTACTTGATCAGCTTTTCAACATATGCTTCAAGCTCTTACAATGCTCCTATTCGTCTTTAATTATTATTTCGCCTTCCTGTTGTTTTTCGTTCATTTTTTTATCCCCATCAAACATATCTTTAGTCATATTAATTTTTTAATTTTTGTTAAGTCCAAAACGTAAGCCAATTTTCAAAATAATCTTCATATATTTTGACTACAGTTTCTCAAACTTCTCTTCTTTTTTTTCTCCACCAACCCTCCAGTGGCACAGCGGTGTGTCTGCGGACTTACAACGCTAGAAACCGGGTTTCGATACCCGTGGTGGGCAGAGCACAGATAGTCCATTGTCTAGCTTTGTGCTTAATTCCAAAAAACAAAACAAAAAACAAACAATTTTTCCACCACCTTTTAGCTGTTTCATGAATTAATGATCAAATGACCACGCTAAAAAAGACGAATTTTCTTCTTTATATTTTTCATTCCATTTGTGGCCCAGGTTGTTAGGATGCTCGACTCGCAATCTGAGGGTCGCGGGTTCGAGTCCCCCGTCACACCAAACGTGCTCGCCCTTTCACCTGTGGGGGCATTATAATGGTACGGTTCATCCCACTATTCGTTGGTAAAAGAGTAGCCCAAGAGTTGGCGGTGGGTGGGGATCACTAGCTGCCTTCCCTCTAGTCTTCTTACACTGCTAAATTATGGACGGCTAGCGCAGATAGCCATCGTGTAGCTTTGCGCGAAGCCAAAAAAACAAACAATCATTCCATTTCTCTTTATTATTCTTCACGATGCATTAAATGCCAACTGAGTCTTTCCACGCTGTTGGTGTACTTACACATTTAGTGAACTAATATCCTAAATATTCATATTTGTTCACAAACTAATTTTTCATTCTTCCAGTTTCATTGCCCAATCCTTTGTCGTTTTATTTCTTCACTTCGAAATACTGCGATCTTTAACTTTTACAAATTCATTGTTAATTTCTTACAATATATATGTATTATTCCAACTTTTACAAATTCATTGTTAATTTGTTACAATATTTGTATTTTTAGTCACCTGCGAATTCCAAGCAGAAAAATCCTGTTTCTTTTAATCACAATGTTTATTATTTTATTCACTAACTACTAATATTCCAAATCATTTTTATAATCTTATACAAAATCTAGCTTAACGAGCATCGTTGTATGACTCCTCTTTTATCGGACTGAACGTGCCAGACTGTGAATGTGTAGGGCTAGTATTTACGACCTTACCGCAAAAAAATAATATAAATAAGATCAAACTCCGCAATTTGGAGTTATCGTTGGTTTATATGGTTGACGGTCAAATCCAACTATTCGGTTAGACAAGAGTAGTTTGATGGCTGGCGGTGGGGGTTGTTGACTTTCCTCTAGTCTATCAGTTCAAAATTAGGGACGGCTAGCGAAGATATCCCTTGAGTAGCTTAGTACAAATATACGAAATTAAATAAAGAAACAAACCTTCTTGTGTTCATTTTCTATTATTGCATTTATGGTGAAAATATTTCTTGTTTAATATTTTTCCCTTAAATTAGCTAAATTAATTTCAGCAACTTCCTTATCATTTCTGCCATTATTACAGCTGAACATTTTATGCGATACATTCAGAGATATGATTCGTCTATAACTTTTGGAACCTTTTTGGACAGGAACCTTGTAAGTAGAAAATATTTCTCTTCTTCTGCATTGTATTTTCCCATACTGTGTTTATTTTATATTGTTTTCTGTTATCTTTACTATTTCTGCTTTATAAAATTCTTACAATCCCCGATTTGCGTCTAGGCTTCAGTTTCTAATTTTTATTTTTCTATCCAAACCTTCATCAATTTCTTCCATATTTAAATATTTCGTTTTTTCCTTTCAACATTTTCATAAAATTCTTCTTTTAATCTTCTGTTTGTCCTTTCAATTTTGCTCTTTCGTGTATTTGTTCTTCTCTTCCCAAAAGTATTTTACAGATCTAATTTTTCCTCTTTTCTCTCAGATCTTATAAGCTTTTGAACATATAACTCTTAGTTTTACGTTTATATGTTCTTCTTTTTATTTTTTTTCCAATATTGTTTCTAAATTTTGATAAACATTATGTTAGTCTCATTTATTCCTTATACTATCTGAAAAACCAAATTTGGCCTTTCCATTCACTCACCCGTTTGTTCTCTGCTATTTCCTTCCGCAATATATTTAAAGTCTCCAGTTCTTGTAAATTTCTTCATTTGCACATTTATCATCTCTTGTCACTATCAAAAGAACTCTAACCCACTCCGATCTTTTTCTGTTTTTATACGTTTCTGGTATTTTCCTTTTTTTTTTGTAATTGTTTGGTAGATTCAATTCTCTCTTGCTGTTTACATACCTTCTACTAAATATTCAATTACATAACTCGCTAATGATGATCCTCTCGCCTAGATATATGTGAGATTGCTCTCTTTATCTGCTTGTATTCTTCCATTCTGAACTATCTTTACAGATATGTTCATATTTTTATTCCTAAAGTTATAAGCACTTTCACCTTTTAATTCTCTTCCAGTTCTCGGATTAAATCCTCTCACTACTGTCAGCTGTTATCTATTTTGTCTACCACTGTTTCGCCAATTGTTTCCATAATCTCATTGTTATATACTGTCATTATACCTCCTTCCTATAGATCCTCCCACTACTGTCAGCTGTTATCTATTTTGTCTACCACTGTTTCGCCAATTGTTTCCATAATCTCATTGTTATATACTGTCATTATACCTCCTTCCTATAGATCCTCCCACTACTGTCACTACTGAGACATTCTTTTCCTATGACTAAAATTTTATTCTAGTTTACGTGAAAGACCGAGTAAAATTTAAAAGAAACCCCCAAAAACTTCAGGATTATTTTGTTTCTCTAAGTGATTCTAAAACTTTTGGTTAAATTTATTTAAATATATTGTCCTTTGATGTTAGCCATGTGTTATTAAAAAATAAAACAATTTTACAGACATTTCTCTAGTTTTTCTTTAATGTTCAAGAGAGGTTAATATAATTTAGAACATAATTATAAATTACATCTATTCATAAACTATCCACAAAATATAACGGAATAATTTAACTTTTCAGAAATATCACTGCTTATTTAAAAAGAATGCCGAACTTCAAAACGTACCAACATGTTCATTTTTGATTACTATTACACTACAATGTTACTTGAAATTGTTTTATATATACATTTTATTTTGTATCATGTTTTACTGGCTGATTGTTAGAAAACTGGACAAAACACCTGCAATTTATACTAACATCGTAGGAAGGAAACATGGTTGAATATCTTGCTTCTCATATTAAAGGTAAACAGCAAAGAAATTTAATAAGGTCAAACCAGGGTGGTAATAATACATGAGGCGTTCACGTGCAAGGCGGGGATCTTGATTTCTTTCGACCACCAGTTCTTAATAAGGTCAAAGAAAGAAGAGTTTAAAACTAGCCTCGGTCTGTGTAAAGGAATGTCTTTAGTTAAAATGTGCTTTGAAAGAAATATACGACCATTAAAGGAAGTAGGGGTTTATGAAGTGTTGGAAAAACATTTATGTGAAGGCCTTATTCTTTCAGGAATTGTTCCCAAAATGACAAATCGCCGTAGGTTTTAAACTTATCGAGCCTCAAGCCCCCTGCTGACGATAAGATGGATCCTCCTGTGGCGCTGACTGGGTTTTTAAACTGCGGCTGCTTTACTGTCTGGTTCACATAGCCTTCTAGCTGGATTGTACGATACATGCGTTTATCCCTATCCAACAACGTTAAGCAAGGTCCACTGCATAGCTGACTACCAGAAAATCACCGAGTAATCAAATGCCTAGTGAAGTCTAGAAAGAAAGAAGTTGAAATATCTATACTAAATTGTTTGCGGTAATTATCGGATGCGGAGAATTTATCTTGGAATCCTAGGTCTGGAGTTCTGGTACCGTTTCCTATCTGGCCAGTTGGACAACCCAAATACTAGTAGAGGCAGTCGTCTAGGCAACAGTGGAAACGTTCTAGAGCTTCAGGTTCTAACTCAGTTACACCACGTCCCCTGAGGTATGTAATATTTATAACCCCCCGTAGAATTTAATTTTATATAAATAATAACATAAAAAAATCACAAACATGTACCAAACATTCATCCTTTTTTTTTAAAGGAAGCTCCAATACTAGTGTTGTTCTTTTGTAATATTCGTTTCAAGCTAATACAAAAGTGGAAAAAAAAAAACCCAACAAAAAACAACATTATGATTCCAGGTTAAGTACTTAAAAAAAGTTCAATTAGTCTGCAACAAGAACATTTCATCATCTTTTCAATGTGATGGCCTTCTGAAAACAGTATTGCATCATCAGAATTTTGGCATTCGAGTAACTGATGCAAGAACTGTTTGAATTTCAAGATAAACAGTGAGACAGAGTGAAGCTTGTGTACAGAATGTTGATGAGATCTAGCTCAGGTTTTCTCGCCTATTGACAAGTGCAATGAATTAGAGGATTATTTTTTAGTTGACATGAATGGTTGTTGATAGAAGTTTTCGTTATTTAACTGCAACTTACACTTATGTTTTCTTTGCGAGAAGTAATTTTTTCCTACTTCCATTTTTTTTGTATTTCATATATAAAGAACTTCTGTTGCTCAAAATATCTCTCACTTGCTTTTCACTTAATAGTTAAATATACAATGACGCCAGTACATAATTAGCAAGAGCCATAGCAACAGAGTCCCGAAGGTCAGCTACGCTTTACATGATGTAAAATATTTGAATCTTTAAGACGAGTTTACACACGCACACCCTAGAGACAGGACAAGGATGCACATACGTAGTTTTGTATAATCGAAGTAATTACGTCACCGCAAAGAGTGTTCATCGTGGACTGATGCGAGATTTTGAAAAAAAACTTATGTCAAGGTTACTCAACATAGACTGATGATGGGTTGATAGATAATACAATTTACAAGAATTTGATCGCTATTCTTAAAATAAAATAAAAAGATTTGTTAAATATTGTTAGATAAGATAACGTAGCAAATTTACACAGAGAAAAAAGTGGGTTTAACGTAGCAAATTTAATCAGAAAAAAGTGGGTTTATATGAAGTCTTACAAGCTGAATTGGAAATACAGTATCAATATATAAAGCCACAATTAATTTTTAATGCTACATATTTAGTTTAGCATTGGCATATCATTATTTCATACATAAAAAGGCCATATAATAATTCCAGTAAAGATAATCCTCCAAGATATACGTAGTTCCCTAACATGTTACAAAAGACGTTAAATTCTGATTTTGAAACTTGAACATCACACGTAGTCTCTCGTCTAGCTTGTTTTTCTGGCTTGACGATAGAATGTGTTAGTAAGGTTTATAACCTTTAATTGAATTACTTTTACAATGAGAAACCGTTAATTCAGAACTCCTTATCATATTCCCAGTCAGATAACGTCTTCATGAGTGTTACTAATTTGAAGAAAAACTATACAAATAATACGAGAAATTGGTACGAGATTTTATCATCATTTCGAGGAGATAATAGATGACAGGAAAAAAGGTAAATTATATATTTGGCTTTACATTTAAAAGGTGCATTTCAGTAGAACAGTTTTGCTCTACCAGATCAGTAGAATTATTAGATTTTCCGTGTATGACTTTTCATAATTCAACATGTTCAAAAATATGATGACTATACATTGTTCCACGTATTTACAGTTACGATTACCATATGGTAAACTTTCACTATTAGACATTTCTAAAGCGATTATGAAAACATGGTGATTATTAGTGATTCCACGTATTTACAGTTACGATTACCATATGGTAAACTTTCACTATTAGACATTTCTAAAGCGATTATGAAAACATAGTGATTATTAGTGATTCCACGTATTTACAGTTACGATTACCATATGGTAAACTTTCACTATTAGACATTTCTAAAGCGATTATGAAAACATGGTGATTATTAGTGATTCCACGTATTTACAGTTACGATTACCATATGGTAAACTTCACTATTAGACATTTCTAAGACGATTATGAAAACATAGT